ATGGCTTAACTAACACCCATGTTCATATGAACAGCTAGAATTATACTGAGTTATAAAATAGAGGCAAAAAAAATGAAGGGAAGGATGGGAGCGGACATGAAGTTGGGGGGCAGGGTAAGGGTCCTCTGGGAGGAGTTGGAGGTGGAGAGTAGGAGGTGACTGTAATCGAATACTTTGTATACATGCATGAAATTCCCAAAGAATATTTTATTTAAAAATTCTAATTCCTTAACACAAGAGCTTTCAGTTCTTTCATTTTTTTACTTCCTTCCCTTAAGATGCATTTGTACTCTGTATATAAACAGAAATATGTTTTCTAGATAGAAAGCCTGAGATCTTTTTTTCAATCACGTCAACTCCATCATTAATCAATTTTTGGATAATGGCCTGCCCATCCTGGTTGAGAAAGCCTGTTCTAAAAATTTGGAAGCTAGCGCAGTAATAGATATAACTTTAACAGTTTTGTAATCCCATCCCCCACTACCCTCCACTACATTTCCAAAGGCAACTATACAAGATTGTCATCTCTACATGGTTTGGTTGATGGATATTTTGTCTTTAAAGTGTGTGAAGAGTGATAACATTGTTTAGAAATCACACTTCATGTGGGCTCATCTTTTTCTGGACTACTGAGGGGTGTTGGTTAGAACAGTGAACTACAGCTCTTGTCAGTCATGTGATCAATCACCAAGTCGACAGGTGCTAATCTGGGGTGCTCAGTAGATTACATAAAATAAACACATTTTCCACCAGTGACGTTTTCATCTTAAAATCCGTTTCAATTAAATCTATTGAAAATAGCATTGTTGTTAACTTACAAGTGATGTTTATTTTGAATGAATGAATTCTTTCACTCCAAAATATTTGCTGAACAGGTACTGCTTCATAGGCAAGATTTTAGGAGCTGGGTGTCTAGCAGAGAAGAAAGTACCCCAGAGCCTTGCACCCCATCAAGACTCATTCTCATTCAGTCTTTGAATTGCCTAATATCATTTCCTGCTTGGTTCAAATCTAATTCATGCCCACCATTAAAACTCCTTCTGGAAGAGACTGCCATGTGAGTGTTACTAAAATAGGACTTGGCATCACTTCAAGACTCAAATGTGCTGACAGAATTAAAACCTGTCTGATGCTGATACAGCAGGAAGATCACGGGAGCAAGAAGGAAGACTTCCTTAAAACCAGATCATGCTACTCTGTAGCTCCCAGCCTTCAAGGCCAGCATCCAGGTCCAATTGGGATGTTTCAGATGTTTTACTATCTGGCCAAGCACTAGACCTTGTCATGTTTTGATTTCAACTGAGAGAACTAGAGTCACACTCATGTATGTGGTCCCTGATGTTGAGGGTTCTCTGCCAATAGTGAGGGCCATGTTTGCTCTGGTGAAACCAACTCTTTGGCTATCCCCCTGCTTATCTTAAAGAAATAGCAATTTTACCATTTGAACAGGGGAAAAAGTCAGTGAGTCTTTTAAAGTATATATCATGCATATTTAGTAGTATGTATCCCTTTTTACATTCTACTAGGAAGAAAGTTAAGCTTCAGGTCTGACCTGCAACTATTATCTTAGCTCTACACTCAACTGCTTATTGTAGTGAAAGATGAAACCATTTCAGATGATGCTGATGTCAAGATATTTTAATGGACCTTTGACACAGTCTGTGAAGGAGAAACTATGAAAGTGAGCAGACCTTTAGTTTATCACTGTGCTCTGCTTTCTTTCTGCAAACAAAGACCAACAGCCTATTTCATTTTTAATCAATTTATACCACCAACTTTTTAAAGATTTATTTATTTTATGTATATGAGTAAGCTGTTGCTGTCTTCAGACACGCTAGAAACAAGCATCAGATCCCATTACAGATGGTTGTGAACCACCATGTGGTTGCTGTCAATTGAACTCAGGACCTCTGGAAGAACAGTCAGTGCTCTTTTTTTTTTTACATTTCTTTTTTTTCTTTCTTTCTTTCTTTCTTTCTTTCTTTCTTTATTTATTTATTTATTTATTTTTATTGGATGTTTTATTTACATTTCATATGTTGTCCCCTTACCCCATCCCCCACCCACCCAGGAACCCCCATCCCCTCACCCCTCCTCCTTCTTCTCTGCGGATGTAACCCCTACCTACACCCCCACTCCCACCTCCCCACCCTCAAAATTCCCACCAACTGGGGCATCCAGCCTTCATGAGGTCAAGGATCTCTTCTTCCACCTATGCCCAGCAGGGCCCTCCACTCTTAAGTATTCAGCTGAAGCCCTGGATCCCTCCCTAAGTGCTCCCAGGCTGGTGGTTTAGACCCTGGGAGCTGTGGTTGGTTGGTATTGTTGCTCTCGTCCTGGGGCCACAAACCCTTTCAGCTCCAATGTCCTTCACTCTAACTCCTCTATTGAGAAACCCATGATCAGTTCAATGGCTAGTTGTGAGCATCTGCCTCTGAATATGTCAGACTCTTGAAGACCTCTGAGGAGACATCCAAATCAGGCTCTTATCAGCATGCACTTCCTGACTTCCACATCAGCATCTACCTTTGGTGACTGCACATGGGATGGATACTCAGGTGGAATGGTCTTCAGACGGCCCCTCCTTCAGTTTCTGTCCCTCACTTTGTCTCCATATTTGCTCCCTTGAGTATTTTGTTGTTCCTTCTAAGAAGGACCGAATCACCCCCACTTGGTCTTCCTTCTTCATGAGCTTCATGTGGCCTGTAAGTTGCATCTTGGACATTTCAAGGTTCTGGGCTAATATCCAGTAATCAGTGAGTGAATACCATGTGTGTTCTGAAGCATTAATGGAAACAGGCTGTTGTCTGTTTTGAACTTCTAGTGAAATTTTGGCTCCTTCTAACCATGATTCGCAATAGTTGATAATATCATAGCAAGCATGCTATGTGCCTCTTGGTGGAAAAATACTCTACATGGCAAACAGAAAATCTCGAACATCCCAAAGATATCCATACTGTGTTCTCAGAACCTGTGAGATGCTACTACTATTCCTGGCTAAGGGGATTTAAGGTTGCAGATAGAATTGTGTGAGCAGGTGATGGTAGAAGGGAAAGCATCTCTGAATTAGCTGTATTACTTACTTGTCTCATTGCTCCAATTAAAACATCTCACAAAAACAGATGAAGGGAGAACTCATTTTGGCTCACAGTTGAAAGGAACAGTCCATCCTGACAGGGGAAGTCATGGCAGCAGGTTGAAGCAGTTTGTAATATTGTACCTAGTCAAGAAGCTTGCAGCAATGAATACTTGTGCTCAACTTGTTTCTTCCATCTATGTATGTAGTTCAGGATATCTGCCTATGGGATAGTGGCACTCACAGTTAAGGTGGATCTTCCCACCTCAATTAACCTAATGTAGATAATCTCTATACAAATATGCCAGGAAACTAATATAGTGTAGGCAATACCTCAGGAGTATCCCAAGAGGTTTATCTCCCAGATGATTCTCAATCCTGTTTAATTGACAATATTAACATTAGCCTGTTGAAGTCACAAGCCTAATGAAATCATATAACATTGGTCTATTAGCAGAATAGTTAGTGATTATTCACCTAACCACTACTAACTTTGGGGGTGGAATGGAGTCAAGAGGCCAGGGCTGTGAGAAGCCCATAGAAGCTAAACAAAGGAAGAGATTCTCATTCAATCTTCTCAAAGAAACCAGCCCTTCTAGCACCTGGAATTTAGTTCCATGAATCCTTAAGCACAATTCCAACATTAAGCACTATTAGATACAAAATTTATGTTGTTTAGTATTAATGAGTTTGTGGCTTGTAGTTCATGAAAACAATAGAAAACAAACATCCTATTTTCTACAATATATTCTGGATACATTCTTTCTAGAAAACTCAGAGACTGGTCAAGGCTCCTAATGTAACTGACAGTTTACAGAAAATACGACAGTCAAAGGAACATATATGAGATGATAAGCACAGTGGAAAGACATTGTATTTTTATCAAAATAAAGTGAAACACACACACACACACATATACACACACACACACATACACACAAACACACACACACACACACACACGGGGAGTAGATATGAGAATGAATGAATACAGAAACCTATTTGCCTGGGAAAATATAGGTAAGTGATTTTTCTCAGAAATACTGCCTGGAGACTTTAGGAAACTACCTAGTATTTTGTCTATCAACCAATAATAGTAGAAAAATGCCATTCAAATAAGCAAATTATTAGAAAAATATATTATCCCTAAGATGTAAATGCTCATACTGGGTATTTGATATCAACATATGAATCATTGTTAGGGTTTGATATTTTGTGTTTGATGTTAAGGAATGATTGTCAGAAGGAATTACAGTCATATACATGGTATTTGGATTATTTTTGAGCAAGGGGAGGGAAGAATCTAAGTGGGCATGGTAGATAACAATAACCACAAATTGATACTTGTTGAAAATGGGTGGTAAGTATATAGATGCTGCCAAAAGATTTCTGCCCTTGAATATATTTTAACATCAGCACAGCAAATCCTGTTTAAAGTACTAGTCACTGATTAGACGTCTCAAATGTTTGAGGAGCCAAACAAAGCATGTGCAAACACTCAATTTGACTATAAGCTGTTGATGTGAAATTTCCACAAGGAATTTTGGAAATGGAATCTTTCATTTCCACTAAGAGAATCATCCTTTTTGCCTCTCCTACTTCCTTTGCTCTGTGCATCCTAGGCATAGGGGCTTCTTTCTCTGTAAGTCAGTGACTCAGGGGCATTCTTGGAATAGAATTTGCCTGGAATAAGTGAGCAAAAAAAAATAATATGCATAATTGTATTGAACAATGCCTCCTGGTATTTTATGTTCGTTTGGATTCCCCTCGTCTCACTCCTGCAAATATTAAAAAAAAAGAAAAAGAAAAAAGAATAAGAAGAAGGAAGGAAAAGGCAATAATGGTTTCAATTTTTGACAGCCTGGGGTATCTTGAACTGTTAGCTCATCACATTTTCCCTGTTGTGTTTGTGTGTCTATTTCAGGATGGAATGGGGAACTTAAGAATCACAGAAAAGGGTCTGAAGCTAGAAGGAGACTCAGAATTCTTACAACCTCTCTACGCCAAAGAAATCAAGTCCCGACCAGTAAGTTTCTGATGAGAAAACAATCAATGCTCTGAAATTTAAATCTGAGCCAATCTACCTTGCTAGCCACTGAGACAACAGATTGGGATGGTGGATGAATTGGTGTTTGAACCTGAAGACTTAGATAGTACTCATAGCTGTGGTGCTATCAACAAGTAAGATGATCTCATCATGTCCCTTTGTGGCTTAGATGTTGGTAGCCGCTGTTAAGCAGCTTCCAGATGGTGCTATGAACCAAGAGGCATTAAACACAGGAAAATACTGGTACCAAACCTGTGAAGGGCAGTATCACTAATATTCTTACTTGTCAATCATTTCAAAGTTATTGGTGAAGACAGAACTAATGAATCAGAACTTTGATTTTCATTTACACTTTATATGTTGTGGTCCATGCTGTCTAGAATCAGTTCATTATCAACAACCATGACCTAACATTGTATCTAATGACTAATGGTATGTCTTATTGAGGGACAGGTTGGCCTTGCATGGATAATTGGTATCTCATTTAATCCATAGGCTCATCATTGTGATGGAAGTATTGCTATTTCATTTTATAGATTAATGAATTAAGACATTGATAAGTAAACTGTCCTGAATAATAATAATTAATAATAATAATAATAAAAATAATAATATAAAAGCATAGAGCAAAGATTCCAACTCTGGAAATCTAATTCTAAAGCCTTTTTATTAAGTAGTCTCTTCCTTAAGTTTCACATTATTCTTCCTATAGTAAGATGCATGTTTCCTACATGATGTGCCTTCATTAGTCAGGATTACCAAATCTGAGTAGTAAAAACCATGTTTATTATTATTGGTTGGTTAGGATTACAGTCTAATTGTAAATTGTCCCCCACAGGCTCATGTGTCACCCGGCCACTCTCCAGCTGCCAGTGCTTTCTTGATAGGTTGTTTAGTAAGTGGAGGTTTACCAGAGGAAGTGTGCCACTGGCGAAGGGCCTCCAGGTTTATAGTCCAGCTCTGCTTCCTGTCACTCAGTGCTTCATGATCCTTACACATGTGAGCAAGCAAGCTCACACTTAGGCCCACAGCTTCCAGCTCCCATACCTGCTACACACAGTGGTAGACTATATGGGCAAAATGGGAGAAAAAATAGATGGTCTCCTCCCACCCGTCATGTCACTTCTTTTGGATGTCTGTCCACAATGATGAGGAAGTTGATGCACAGCATTTTGTTATATAGGTTTGTGCTTTGTGAAGTAGAGATCACTGGTTGGAAATGATCTCTTAATAAGGCTTATTAAGACCTTCACATTGCATAGGATTAATCGCTGTCCACATGGAAGCCAAGACTGACTAGAAAGTTCCTTAAACCGTCATTTACATAATATGCACTGACTTATATAATTATTGAAAATCAGCAACTTGGTGTCAGTGCAATAGAGGGCGGGAACTGTATTTGCTGGAGGTATCGTGTGCTGCTTGTGGAGATGCTCTCCATCCTCATCACATACAGAATCCATACGGAATGCAATTCAAAGTCCCCCAGTGAGACCTGGCACTCCTTTTTTCAATTTGTTTTTAAAAAGTGTGTGTGTGTGTGTGTGTGTGTGTGTGTGTATGTGTGTGCCACATACAAAATTACACATAAAAACCTCACCACCATAAAAATGTCCACCCCTGCCAGAAGTCTCTTTCTGTCTCTTTTCAAATTCTCTATCACACTAAAACCATTTTGTCCTCCCCTACCTCTAAGCAACCACTGATATGTTTCCTTTACTCTATTATTACTTTGCATTCTTATGAACTTCATAGACCTAGAGTCATATATGATGTTCATTAAGAAAAAAAAAGCAAGCACAAAATGCCTTTGTCATTTACTGAAGCTTTTTCTCTTAAAACCGTCTATTTAGTATCTAACTTAAGAAAGTGTTGTCTTTTACATGCAATTAGGCTCTCTTGGTTTTCTCAAAAGAGATATGAGACTGTAGTTCAAGGGTATAGACTTTTATCTCTTTGAGAACATCAGAAGATAGAAAGGTAAATGGAGAGTTGCTTGCTATGAGTGGAATTTGCATCTCTTTGAAATGTCACAAGGAAAAACAAGTGTGTTGACAGAAAGCAATAAAGAAATTATTATCAAATCTTTGGGGCTAGTCTATAGACCTCCCTCTGCATAGCTGAACAAGCATCTGTACAAACTATTTTTACCATCAAGGCAGGTGGAAAGGATGATGGTTGTGTACCAGTGAAGTGCAGCCCTGAGTGGTGCTTCATGTTCTAACTACTCAGCAGTTTTCTGTTCTCTTTGAAGTTATCCCCAGTACCATTGCACCATACATCACCACTGGTGTGTTTCATGGGTGTCTCTTTCTGCTCTTCCCTACCAGGATCGACTCACACCCTTGAATGGGATTGAGAGCCTCTCTAAGTGGGGTGGAGTAATGAAGGGATGACTGTCTCTAGTTTGGTTTTCTGTTTCACTGATCTGAGAACTGATAAGTTAAACCATCCGCACAACATTCAATACCATATCTGATTCCTTTAGTGCAGGTTGAAGTCCTGATCAAATCACTACAAATTGATGGATGCTGTGGCAATCACTTAAGATAATAAATTTACAACTGTGAGTGATTATCAGTGAACACCGGTTCCACCAACCTGAGTTATCAAGACATATCTAGGCTGAGTACTCAAAGCCCCTGAGAGTTGAATTCTATTAGTCACTGCATTGAATGGTTGGACAGTAATGCCTAGAAAATAAGAGCTAGGACTTCCCTTGCTAAAAGCAGCTCAAACAGACCTAAACTCCACGACTACAAATTCTCAAGGCCATACTGCTGAGCTGAACTTCACTTTTCCTGTCTTTCTAGTTGGGTGTTACAAACTGGCTCACACCTGGTGGTTTCCTACTAAGGATAGTTGGCTGGAATACATGACTCAGCCCTTGAGAGGAGTCAAGGTGCTGGGACAATGAACCCCCCAAACAATGATGAATGGTTCAACAAAGGGGACTAGTTATATCAAATCTATTCACTAATGGGGCATTATCTGTTTAATAAGCTTCTCATGGAGTGAATACATTTTGAGGGACTCCCATTATGCCCTGATGGCTGATGGGACCAGCTAACCACTGAGACCTGAATGCCCCCAGACATCACTTCCTCTGCCCACTGTGTTCTCTGGACTGTCAGACTCTACCAGTCAGTGTGTTCCATATCCAGCCATTCCCTTCATTTATATCATGTGCTCCTCATGTCCTCTAAGACCCCTTGCCCACAGACCTTGGTTTGCAGAATTGCAAATGTTTATACTTCATTAATGAGTCAAGTAATTAGATTTTGTTTTGTTTCCCTTTGGGCTCTTTAAAAAAAATAAGTATTTATGTCCATTACATTTTCTTTCTGGCTCACTTCTACTTTTTCTCTCTTGTGCCTAAATTTTCCATAGTCATCTAGTTCTTGGGTCTCCACCTCAGCTTTTACTGATTACATAACTGACAAGCACAATTATGTATGTTCAAATCATATAGCTTTAATAATATCCTGACATATATTGTGAAGTGACAACTACAAACAAGATGTTACCAGAATCCTTTTCTGTTGGTATGCAGATTTTCTAAGCTGACTTCAAATGGATAATATGTACTATTAACTCCAGCTTCCAAGTTATGCATGGAACTTATTTACATGATAACCAAAGTCAGCACCCAATGACTACATCCCCACCCCTGATCACTACCCTTCTACTCACAGTCTCTGTGACTTCAGCTTTTGCAGTTTCTGCATTGTACTGAGAGTGTGTGTTTCCCCTTCTGTGCCTCAGCAGTTCCACTTCATTTAGTTTTCTCCATGTTCTTACATCTGGAAGAGATTCATTTTTAGGCTGCAGTCAAATTCTACTGTGTACCCATGCACAGTTTTCTTCACCCACTCATCTATTAGTGGACACTTATACTGACTCCATGTCTTGGCTCTTGTGTGATGTTGGAATAAACATAGGAGTCCTGACATCTCATTGCCATAAAAACTACCTGTATAATTTCAGAGCTGAATCACTATGTCTTACAAGAGTTCTTCATATTTTATGAGGGTGTTCATAGGTTCTCATCTCCTAGGTACCCACACACCAATAGTATGTAAGCATATATGTACCACCACATCTCATAATTTTCATTTACATTTCACCAATCATTAGTAATATTCCTAAAAATACTTTTAATTGGCCTGATATTTGCATGTCTCTTTTGAAAAAAAAAAGACTACTACTTAGGTCTCTTGCCTTTTCTTAAATTACTCTTCTTAGTATTGTGTCTGGTGTGCTTGTTATATGTGTTAATATCAGTTTCTTGTTAGATGCTGTATGTCTTACAGATGTTTTCTCCCACTGCCAAGGTTGGTTTCTCACTTTGGTGATTACTTCCTTGGTGTTTGACAAGTAGAACTATTTATGCTAGATAGAATTTTGTTTATTTGTTTATATTTACTTTTATGCTTTGATTTTACTTCCTATACTAAAAGAGAAAAGAAAGAATGAAAGAGAGAGACAGAGACAGAGACAGAGAGACAGAGAGACAGAGAGAGGGGGAAAGAAAATAAGTAAAAGAAATGAAAAGAAAAGAAAAATCACAAGCAGGATCAACCACAGCCTTTTTTTCTCTTAGTAGCTTTATCAACTTAGGTTTTGTATTTAAGCTTTAATCCATGTTATGGTGATGTTTTGAGTATAGGATAAGATAAAGATTCCATCTCTCCAGGCTGGAGAGATGGCTCAGTGATTAAGAGCACTGAATGCTATTCCAGAGGACCTTAATTCAATTCCCAGCAACCACATGGTGGCTCATAACCATCTGTATTATAATATGATACCTTCTTCTGATATGTCTGAAGACAGCTGCAGTGTACTCATGTTTTAAAAGAAATTCCTTCTCTCTGCCTGTGTACCTCTCTTCTCTCTACCCTGACATGTGAATATGTATGTGTGTGTGTGTATTTTACTCATTAGCATTTATTAAAAGGCCTGTTCTCTCAATACCATGA